ATGTCTTAGTGAGTACACAGTAGGGCAGCAGCCTTATGTCTTAGTGACATAGAGGTATGTTATGAATTCTGGCTATGATATCCAGCAAAGGTTTCAGTCTCTAGAATCAGAGAGATTTCCATACATCACTCCAACCTCAGGTACTGGGCTCTGAACCAGATTTACAGAACCACCCAAGAGTTCCCTACTGTGTGGTAGACCTAAAATGAAATCACATATAATAGTCAACACACTATCACACAGAGAATATCTTGCCAGGCAAGTTGTAACATGCAGGGTCTCCACATGGATAAAATCATTGCCAACTTTCCTCATCCAGTAGCTTGCATAGAAGCTTCTAGTACTGCAAAAGCTAGCCAGCGTGGATATAACATGGCTTCTAAATGTCCTATATGCCAAGTGTACAGTGTGTTCAGAATAGTTCTACAATCTAATTCTCATGCATCAATGAGGACATTGGCAGCAGCCTGCAATGTTTGACAGGAGTCCCCCTTGCTTCCCAGCTCAGAGGGAACTATCTCACAGCATTGGGGTCTCTGTTTAGTCAACTTAGTCTTCTGGGAGGAGCATTATCCATGCATGCAGGGCTCCTTAATTCAGTTGTTTTACTTAAGCTTCCAAGGTTGCAGCTCCATTCATTAGACTTGGAGACAAGCCACAGTCCATGTGGGGAGGTCACAGAATCTTTTACTAGATTATTTTCTTGTCTTTCACCATGTGGTTTCTCAACATCAAACTCAACATCATAAGGTTGGCATCAAGCACCTTTACATGCTAAACTATTTAACCAGCCCCTCAAATGGTTTTAAATGACTTAAAATGAAATATTTTTACAAAAGGATTTTTTCCCTCCATGCTTAGGTTTGGTTAACCTTTTCCCCACCACCACACTTCTCCTGTACAGGATTAAACCTTTCCACTTGCAAGATTTCCTTACCCCTTCCACAGTGCATTTCTTCTGCCTTCCCACTTCCCTCCGTGCCTGGTCTCCTCTTCTCCTCTAAGGATTCACCTTATGCTTTCTGGCTTTTACAGGCTCTCTAAACTAAAAACATTAATCTGGAATTCAGGGCTTGGAACCACATGTAAGACAGAAGGGGCACAGAAACACTCAGTCCATTAAAGAACCAGCTTTTCTTCTGACTCCCAGGCCCTAATGCATTGATCCTCCAAGTAGAGCCGCTCATAGTTCCCAGAAAGGACCAGAGGGTCTGATGTTTCAGAGTCACTGCTGAGGAGATGTTTCAAACAGAGTTTCTTTCTGTTTTGCCCCCCATTGTTTCTTCCTTTTATTATTTTGAGACAAGGTCTACTGATACCCAGGCTGGCCTCAAATTCCCCACGGAGCCAAGGAGAGACCTTGAGCTCTGGATCTTTGTGCCTCCCCCTCCACTAAGCTCTGGGATGACTGGAATGAACCATCAGCTTAATTTAAAGTCTGTGAACCACAATCTCTCTTCATAATTCCCATGAAAATCCTCTCTGCAAGGGAGACAGAACCATCCATATCATGGTCCTAATGGAGCCAAGTACTCATATCAGTAACCAAATAAAATAATGTACCTAAATATAAAGAATTGTTCGATTGCACCTGGATTTATCGTCAATCATTTTCCCCATGATAGGCTCTGTTCAATATAAATCACAAAATCATACACAAAGCTTCCTAACCTGGCTGCTAAGTGATAACTATGAAAGGCTCTGTTGCTTCTTGACCACCAAGAAGATGGGGCCAACCTTCAAATGTATTTGGGGCTCACCCTCTACTTATCTCTCCAAGTCACAATTTCAATTCAAAGAATCTAGAACCAAACCAAGGCCTTCATGGTGTCTGGATCACAAGTGACATTATCACAATATTGGCAGCCTTTGGCTTAAAGAATATGTGAGGCACACCCCCTTGTCTTGTGTGATTATGTGCTATATTTACCTTGAGAGATGCAAGGCAAGTTGAAGTCCATTATGAGTTAGCCAACACCAAATCCTCTAACAAAGGTGAACCAGCTGTACCAACAAATTTTGGTGAGCCAATGAATTAATTCCAATATCTTATCATCACTATTTGGGGGCTACCTGTACCTTTCATCCTACATGGTCAACATTCTCAAATCAGGGGAGTCAAGACCACATCACAGTCTACAAGTATCCTGGGTCACAATTGAATATTGAATACCTTGGAATCAGGATGTGTAGGGTGCACCCAGGAACACCCAAAGTCTAGGTTTTTTCCTGGACTGCCACAGATTAAGAACAATAACGTAATTTCAAGCCATAGACACAGCTCCAGGATGATGGGATGCACTTTAACTCAGGAGGAGGTGGTCTGATGAGTAACATAAGTGAAGGTAAATTGGGAGCATAGGGACCTTGGGGGAAGGTTGAAGGGGGAAGAGGCAGGGAGGGGAGCATAGATAAATGTAGAGCTTAATAAAAATCAATTTAAAAAAAGAAACATTATTGGCAGCATGGCAGCTCCATAATTACCAAGGAATCTGGGGCAAGCTTAAATTCAAGGGCATATGAGCCACACAATCATTTAATTTGACCCAGGAGATTCCTAACCACAGTAGATCCAGGACCACAACATGGCATGCAGCAAGACAAGGACTCATTTTACTGACCAAACAATATGGTCATGTCTTAATATAAAGAATGCATAGACTGCTCTAGACCTTATCATGACATCAGATGTTATTATTTTTGCCACGTCAGATTCTATATTGATTGAAAAATGTTGTGTGTATCTAAGCTGTGATAAACTAAAACACTTTGGAGCATCAGAAGAAAACTCCATGAGAGGAGTTACAATGGGCAAAAGGGGATAACATTATGTATGAGAGAATTAGAAGGGAAACCTCACAAGTAAAGACAGAATGAGAGATGGAGAAAGCAGGGAGGGTAACAAAGGAGCATCAGGAAAGCATCATGAGGGAATAAAGAAGGAATTCATCAGAATAGGTCTGAGTGTACACTTCCTCACTCTTCAGATCGAAAAGTTTTGGTTTGTGCTACACTGTGGACTTTCTCTTTGAGCACTGACCGCAGCCTGGAAGCTGGTTCTTTCAGACTGTTAGAGGCATCTTGCAGTGCACACGCCATGCTTGTGGGTATACAAGTGTCGGTCTCACACTATATCCACCACTACTGCTGCTCCTGTGTCAGCCTCCTGCAGTGCATGCAACGTACGTGCTGGGCTACTGGTTTGAATTCTGGGCAGTGCCTTCACAATGGGTGGTGGGATTTAGACATGAACTTCTGAGAGTACCTGCCCCATGAGTGATAGGTTAGTTATGTGAGACTCCATCCATATATAAATGATCAGTCTCACTCAGGACATTCACACTATTGCTGGAGTTTAGGCATGATCCTCCCACAGCACATGCACTATGAGTATTGTGAGACACATCTATGTCTCCCATGGTACATTCACAATCAGTGCTGTTTTCAACCCCTGAGTCCACAACATTACATGAACAATGAATTCTTGGTTTTAAGTAAGAGCCTGCAGCAGAACATGAACCATGAGTGCTAGCTACAACCATGATCCCAACACATTACAGGGAGGTTCATGCCTAGAGTCAAGCACTCATTGTGAATGTAATGTGTGAGCTCAAACCAGTAACTGAGCACCAATCATGTGTGTACAGCAAGAGTCTCATGCCTATATCCAAGTTTTTATGGTGTAAGCACTATGGTGTGGTGCAGGAGAATTGTCTGTATTCTGTCAGTCATGTTTTAAATAAATGCTGATTGGCCAGGCAGGAGATATAGGCGGGAAACCCAGACAGGAAGTGGAAATGATGCCAGGAGAGCAGGAGAATTCTGGGGAGGACGAAGTTGATTCCTCCCACTCCTGCCCAGATCACCAAAGCAGCAGGATGTGATCTGCCCCACTGAAAAAGGTACTGAGCCACATGGCTAAAATAGATCAGAAAAATGGGTTAATCAAGACGTGAGAGTTAGCTAATAAGTAGCCTGACCTAACAGGCCAATCAGCTTTATAACTTACGGAGTCCTCTGTGTTATTTCCTTTGGGGCTAAACAGCTGGGGGGACTGGGCAGTACAGAAAAACACAAACAAGCCACCCCCCCCTCATGTTACAATGGTGGGCTCATGGTTGTAACCTGACACCCAATGTGCATGTACTGTGGGAAGCTGAGAAGTTTCCAACCACTCATGGTGCATGTACTGTGACAGATCATATGTTCATCCCAGCATGTACTGTGGTGGTTTTATGGCTAACTCTCAGCATTAATTGTGCACTTACAATGGGAACTTGACAACTGTATCGTGGCCCTCATGGTGATCTACTGTATGAAACTCAAACCATTAATCCAGCATTTATATTGAACATACTCTAGTGGGCCTGTGGCTGCAACCAAGTTCTTATTGTGAATATACTGTGTCATAATTAACTCCAAACTCAAGTTGTGTACACTGTGGGTGGCTCATGCCAATAACCTAG